TGAGCATCGCGGCACGTAGGCACATCATAGCGTAACGGAAATTTCTCATACAAACTATTTATTAGAAAATAAAATAAAATAATACATAATCTTGTTTTAATGATTCAAACTTAATGTTCAATTATTTTCGCGGAAAATATTACCTACTCTAAATCAAAATTATAAGATAATTAGTATAAATGAAAATATATGTATATATTGGTTACCGACTGTCGAATCTAATAGGATCGATAATCGATACGTGACATACTGTCGGTAATTTTGGCAACCACTGTCGATAATTAACTATTCCTATCGGTGGGTACAAGATTGTCTGGGGACCAGATTGTCGTGACGATGAAGGAAACAAAAAAAAAAAGATTCTTCCCGCGGACGTTACAACTGTAGTCATGCAACTTGCCAAACTCCTTTTAGGGAAAGGATACACCTTATTCTTAGATAATTGATATTCGTCTCCTAATTTATTCAAAATTTTGCATGAAAAAAATACAAATGTTATTGGAACAGTCAGAAAAAATAGGAAAAATATACCAAAGAAGCTACAATCGTATAAGCTAAAAGATGTAGAAGTAAGAACGTTATCTTGTAAAGGCATTTTATCCTTACGCTGGTACGACAAGAAGGATGTGTACATAATAACTACGAAACATTTGTAACGTCCCGCGGAACCTTTTTTTTTTGTACAATACCACACCCCAAATCGACAGTAGTTGCCAATTACCGACAGTACATTACATATATATTACCGTAGGAGACAATAATATAGAGTTACAAATAGATCACAGGAACAAAAGGAGGATCGTTCACAAGGACCGAGTCAAGAGAGCCTATTTACAAATGAATGATCGAGAATCAATAGAAAGATGAATACGTGCGTAAGGGTGTGGCAAAGCTACGTGGCATCATTTAAAGAAGTGACTTCAAAGTGGTAACACCTGAAGATTTCGTCCAAACCAATATCAAAATGGAAAACGACATGAGCCGGCAAATAGTGGCAGGAATCTGCGTTAAGGACACCGGGATTAATTTCTCATACAAATTTAACCCGCTTTTGGGCAGACTCTGTCTCAATTGCGTATTGCTTGCACAACGTGGAGCACGAGAGAAATGGTGGAACACAGGCAAGAATCAAGATTCGATTACATTTTAGTAAAATAATACAATTTA